AACTGAGGAGTTGCCCTTTTGATCCGGACACCCTTCAATGAGAATGTTTGACAACAGAAATGATCATTTTTGAAGGGTCCTGTTTGAAGCCTTTGTTGTTACATTGTCAGCCCGGTCGGTCGTCTTTCGTGAATAACATAAAAATTCTTCCCGATAAAGTTATTTTATGAAAATCCTATACTTGTATATAACGTTGTTCGATTTTTGTATTTTTCTTTGCGACAGGAGATAAGTATTCTTAGTATCAAGATAATGATATTTTCTTTGTACTTTATAGAAATATCGAAAGAATGATTATTTACAGAATGAGTTTGGAATACAAAATAAAATAAGTAGAATCCCTAAAATATTGCATTCAGTTATTATAATATTATACGTATTCAAGTTAAATGGTACTTATCTAAGTACGTAGTAGTTGTAGCTTCAGGAGGATAAATCCCCCTTTTTACGAAATAATCAATATAATCTGATTATTATTTCTAGAGATTAGTGTGAAAACAGGCAATACTGCACAGTTTTATTGAATTAGTTTCATCAACCTTTATATTTTTAATTAATTGTCCACTCCTTTAATAGTCCACTGCTGGACATAAGCCTCTCCTAAGAAAGGAGGTTTTGGCTTTTAGTTTTAAATTAGTATAGATTTAGATAAATGGTGCTCGCCGAAATTATGACAACCTAGAGCGTTTGATGGTGAACGGAGGAGTAGAAGGGAAGATACCCAGAGGCAGAAATCCCAGAAGATGGTCAGACCAGATCGCTGAACAGCTAGAAATGCCAATAAGTATAGCACTCCACCAAGCGACTGATCGCAGCCGATGGAACCAGATGGTTGACAGGATGAAAGGGAGTCAAGAACCTCATAAGTGAGGAAACGATTAGGAAGAAGATAAATAGTCCTCCATCAGGTTAATGTCCTAAAAAATCAGGTATTTTAGGCTAGAAAACTTATCTGGGTTAAAGCATTTTTATTTATGTGTAATAAAAAAATTGGGCACTATTTAGTATCCAGTGAAATATAATAAAATATGCACCCAGAACTACTGATTAAAGTCAATCAAGATTAAAATCACATGACAGGTTCGCGGAAATTGTTATCCGGTATTTATGTTAAATTTTGTAAAAAATCAAAAATCTGAAAACTAAACAACAAAACTAGTATATCCATTTAGGAGTTACATTGCTGCAAACACAAATGATCATCATCATCATCATCAATAGTCTTTAACAGTCCACTGCTGGGCATGAGCCTCTCCTTAGAAAGGAGGTTTTGGCCTATTATAACACGCTGGTCTGGCGGCCTGGTATAGGGTTTTTTCCTCAAAGAGGCTAAGTCCGCGTGTGCCGGTTATCGCCTGAATAGAGAGTTTATCCAAGGGTGATGTCCGCACTGTTGCGGGCAGGAGCTGGCAGGGGTCCGGATGTCTTAATATCAACTTTCCCCCCTATCTCAGGTGCGGAGTAGCACACCGTGTGATTTTATTCGTTCCATTCCTACACATCGCCCAACTGTAAGTTGGGAGACGGCCCGCTGCTTCGCTGCAGAACAAACGGTCCTGTGTTTCCTGTAGTTTTAAATTACTCTATTTACAATAGTTATTTTTTTAACATTATCAGCTTTCTTATAACACATAATTACAATACCTATTTGCAATTTATTACACTAATTAATAATATATCTTCTTTATATGTCTCAGAGTTAAAGTTCTAAAGACGTTCAGATATAGAAAGAGTTTTGCATCTATTACATCTGAGCCATTCTCAACCCTGTAGACGTCAGAATAACGACGACGATGATAAATGACCGTTAGAAGAAATACTGAATATTTTATGCGTTTGAAATGTGTAAAGCATAAACGGTTTTACTCATGTGACTCAAGAAGGGTCCGTTTTCAAGAAGCGAAGCGACCTTCCACATTTGTGTCAGTCTGTTGGTCTAGTGACCCTGATAGCTAAAACAGAGGTAGTGGGTTTGCTTTCCACCCAGAACAAATGTTTGTGTCATGAGCATGATATTGAAGATGGGCCCAGACCCCATACATTTGTTTCCCACTTTCCTTTCAAAGGTCTTTAGTTTTCAAATCAAATATCTTTATTTTTTCAATAGAATAACACTTTTAGCATTAATTTGTGATTGGAGCCTCCTTTTAAGCCAACAATGGCTGTGTTAGGACACTCCGCTCTTCCATAACTAAATGTAAATTACACTAATTTGTGTCTATGAGCTGTGTACGTGTTGTGTATGCGCGCGCGCGCGGGCGCGTGTATGTGTGTGTATGTGTGTGTTGGTGGGTTTTGGTTAGTTGTCTTGTAAGTATGTTTTAGTAACTTTAGCCAGGCCGTTACAAGTTTTTTACATTCATTCCAATTTTTATTATATATTTAAATGTATATTTCTTTGTTTATTCTATTATATAATTTGGCAACTTATTTCTTAACTCATTAGAAACAGCGGTATCTTTATATCAATTTAATGATTAATTAATTAAAGCAGTTTCAACTACTTGGTTATTACAAAATGAATTTCTGCTTCGAATAATCCGTAGTCTGATTCAGGTAACCGGACTTATCAAATTACCTGAATGAATCACTGGACATTTACGATATTTCACGAAATTCAGTGTTCGAATATAAATTAATAGACTAATTCGTAATTTACATAAATCTACAAAAACATTTTATCCACGGTTTCACTCATGCTAGTGTCAACTTCGCAAAAAAATATGTCGGGATAAAAAATATGCTATCTGCTATAATCTGTGATAGATTATTATTCAGATCCGTTGAGCCGTTCTGACGTGATGGAGTAACAGGCATCCATGTTCACAAACTTTCAACTTTATTTGTAATATTAATGGGATAGTTAAAATATGTAGCTAAGACCTTATATGGCTGATAAACAAACCATATCGCAAATGGCACATAACCATTTTTCCGTCATTATCATCATCTTCGGGACAATAATATTGTAGCAAACAATTAATTATTATATTTTATGCCGATAATTGTAAATCTCCATTGCAAATTTAGTTTACTATTTACAAATTACGATTCCAACCCATAAACTGTCTAGCACTATATACGCCGGCACCCATCCCAATATTTAACAAAACCAACTGTCCGATAACTAATCCTGTAATTCCCCAATCAATATTGAATTTCCAGCTTCCAAAGGTGACAAATAAGGCGTGAATCGGCTAAACAGATTACACAATGACGGCTTTATAACCAGCTAGCTTTGATATTGCCAACCACTAGATTAGGTTCCTCTAATTCTGAATACGTAATAAATTTAGAGAGGATTATGGCATGTTATAAATATCTCTGAACAAATATAATATTGTCATTAGCTTTTTACCTTATTCCGTTTCGAATTTGGAAGTCAATATTAATCTACTTATTTTCGAGTCTTTGTATTAAAATCAAACTTTGTATGTATATGTCTGTGTATGTATCATCATCATCAACGGCCTTAAATAGTTCACAGCTGGACATAAGCCTCTCCTTAGAAAGGAGGTTTTGGCCTACTATACCACGCAGGCCAGACGGGTTGGTATATTGTTTGTGACACTCTGTATTCTTTTTCCGTCAATACACGGACACGCTCTCCCTTGTATGTATGTATATATATCATAATATGTAATTTGGCATCTTGAAGCTGATCTAATTATAGTGCCAGGTGGAGACAGAAGAACTTTATAGTGGAGGTGGTCACTTTCCATCAGGTGACCCGTCTGCTCGTCTGCCCCTTCTATCATAAAACAAAAAAAAAATAGTGGCTACTAGACTAGAAATCAAGCGATGGACGGTAGAACTCTTTTTTTCCTTTAATAATGGTATTTGGCGATGAAAGCGTGTTATTAACATGCGATTTATTTAAATCTATTTTTACGCATATTCATTGATGCTTCTTTTGTTTTGTTTGTTGGTATTAAACAAATAGTATTCGAGTCGCTTGTTTTTATTATAATGCTATATTATTCTTTTACAAACATCACATTTATAGCTACTATGTTTGCAGCAGGTAATCCCGGAAAATTGCCTCACAGCTAGTGGCAAGTAAGTGTGAAGTAGCATTGTCATGAGCACTTCATACGGCTCAGCTCTGCGCTTACCGCAGTGACAATGGACCTTTTGTTATCACTTTGCTTCAACGTAATCCAAAAACATGTTACTATGACTTCATTATAACCAGATTCGATGTTTGTAATGTAAAATTAAGAGATATTAAATCTTAGATGATAGTTTTAAATGCAAATTTGACTTTATATTATGCACAAATAAATGTAATGTTGTAAAATTATCTACACGGTAGTAAATGCAATCAAAATGACCTGCTATTTCATACCTTTAAAGTGACGTTTTGACCAAGTTCCAATGGCCGTGATTACAAGCTACTAATATGTGCCTAGTGACACAATAAAAAAATCAACACTTTACAGGATATTAAAAAAAAATAAGATTAAAAAATTTGAGAAATAATTCTGTGCCCTTAGAAATTACATAAAAGTAAATAAATATTTAATGGTTACTTATAGCTAGTACTAAAGAATCACTAGTCAAAAAGATTGAAAATTTTATTTTTTAACTTTTAAAATAATTAATTAAAACTTGTAAAAGACTATTCTTATGGATGACAGACTAGTTTTGAATCCGATGGGATAGCTGTCCTTTATCAATATGGATTCGAAACACTTCTGTTTTCTTTTATTCCTAGATAATTAAAATTGTTAATTTATTTGCAAAAAAATAAATTAAATACTCTAGCTACGATTATTTATCTAAGTAATACACTTATATAATTACATAGATAAATAGGCGTTACTAATGTTTTGATTTATCTGGTAAATATTTCTCTTAACTTGAACTATAGAGCAATTAACAGAAGTAAATTGTATTTGTCAAGCCACTTGTGGAAAATACCCTTTAATCTTTTCAATGCCATATTTTGTTTGTTCAAAACAAGCTGTCCTTATAAAATAATAAATAAAAATGAGTACTCACCGAAATGATAACGTAGTGAGCGGCCGATACGACTTATGGCTGTTATGGTCTGACATTGGTGTACCCCAAAAATCGTTTTTGAACACTTGCAACACATTGTTACCGCCGTTCACATCACTGTTTGACACTATCGCCGGGATGTCGTCATGTACGAACTCGCCATTCAAACTATTCGCGTACGTCAGAGCCCCCACAGAAGCAACGAGCGTGTAAACTGCCCACTCACTTTCACACAATGTTCTCCACGATTTTGAGTTCGACACTTCCTCGCGAACCGGTGGTAGAGGACGTCGTCGCATTTTGTTCACACACTATTTTACTTTTATTTTATCCTACATGTTAAAATCGAGGTTTTTGGAAATGAAAAAAATATTTCTCAAACATTTTAAGCAGAAAATTTGAAAGCTTTTTTGCGAAATTTAATATTAACAATGTCGAAAACTCTTGTTAAAATTTAATCAAAAAATGATGATCTGAATATTCTGGAATATTTTTATAAATTCAAATGAAAACAATATCATTTCATGCATAAAAGAGTACTTTGTGAGTATTTAAAACAAATTTGATGTATGTACATCAAAATACACAAATATGGATAAGGAAGAGCTTTCTCTGTTTGTCGGTTTGGTTGTCCGAGGGTCAGTTGATGGATTACCGACGTCGCATAAATCAGCGAGGGTTAAGTATAGCCACTGATGTCATATTCATAAGCTAAGCGCTGCAAAAGAATGATGACCGTTTTTCGTTTTTTTTTAATTCTTGGCTCACTTTGAGACGAACGCTTCTTTTTATTTCAAATGCCAGTGATTTATGATCTCGTAACGGGTGCATGTAACCTGAAACAAAGGATGAATTTTATTTTTGCTGGTTTTGATATTTTACTTTCAAAAGTAAAAAGGTGAATAACAGTACTGAATAACTTCAGAGACAGAGTAAAATATGGTTGTGTTGAAACTGAAACGAATTACTGCAACATACATTTCTAATTTTCAGAAAGCATACCTAACATATTTTTATTGAAAATATCTACTTAATATAATGCAAGTAAACATGTAGAATGTGTCAAGTTAATGTTATGGTGTTGTTTTTGTCCAACGCAAAGGGAAAATCCTTCGATCAGGCCAGGTGATCATACCTGGTGTTGAGCCTCGGCTTTACGGTTAATTTTGGGAAGTATAAATATAGGTAGATACTAACTTGCTTGATACTAATCGGTGCGAGAACCTTCATTGCGCAATATAGGATTAGTAGTTACTCCCTAGTTCGTTGTGTTTTCGTTAGGTGGCATTATAACATGTTCGTTTTATATTGAAGTCGTCGATAGCTCAAACATCGGCTCGATCTCTTGGCGTTACGTCGAGATGTGGCTTCACTCTGCATTCTTTATCGTTTATATCATGGAGAGTGCTCCGAGGAACTGTTCGGACTAATACCAGCCGCAAATTTCCGCCATCGTTCCACACGGCAAAATTTTCATCCTTATTACCGGGATAGTTGGCGCTCTACTAATATTTCGAGACACTTTTTGCCCCGCACAACCAATCTGTGGAACGGGTTATCGTCTACGGTATTTCCGATACGACCTTCAAACCTACAAGAAAAGAGCGTACTCCTTCTTAAAAGGCCGGCAACGCGTATGTGACTCCTGAGTTGCACACGTTCATGGGCGGCGATAGTCACTTACCATCAGATGACCCGTCTGCTCGTCTGCCCCCTCTAATATGAAAAACAAAAAAAAAACCTTATGAATTCCCTTGCATCTTCCCCCGAGCTTTTTTCCCAAAACAAGGTAAGGGTCTGCTTTATGTCTACTACGATACGCCTGAACTTTGATTTTTTACTATTTATTTTCGATCACTTCCCTCGCAGACAGTACAATATTTCATCCACAATAAATTTCCCGATAAATAAACATAAACATAAAAAGTTTATTCTTTGTAACTAAAAGTAACAAATTGCACAGTAGAATATGGTTGATAATGACTGCTATAGTTAAATAATATAAATAAATAATATTCAAGTAGTAAGCTTACTACTTAGCGTGCTACCATGATTAAATTTGAGAAAACATACCGCCTGCCTCTTAATACAAGGCAAAGGCTGACACGCATGTACCGTCTCCAATCTGAATTGCTAATGGCTGCCTTGATTCACTCGAGGAGAATTAAAAGCTTTATGGCTTAATCACATTAGCTGTGTTTGTTCTATCTGTTATTAGATAGTTGCTTGCGTAAATATTTACCTTCCTGGTTAAGAATAATGGTCTTTTACCTCGGTGATCTATCACACCCCAGGGTGTAGTAAGTTGTTGAGAAAATGACCAGAGGTGATTAATTTTAGTTTATTTAGTACTAAGCAAATAATTTATGTTGGTAGAGGTGTACATATCATTAATTCCTATTATAGTATATATTAGAAGGGCCTACTAGTCTAGTGGTTAGTGGTCCTGTCTACTACTAGACTAAATAGTTGTGCGAAGATGCACGATCATTTGTTCTGTGTATGAGTGTAATTCATCTATAACATGACTGCACGGATGGCGTAGTGGTTTAAGTGGTTGCCACGCCGCTTTCTACTACGCCGAGTGTTGTGGGTTCAAACCCCACATGGGACAACACTTTGTGTGATCTACAAATTGTTGTTCTGAGTCTGGGTGTTCTTTGTGTCCGTTTCATGTATGTTTGTAAAGTCCCCCGCGACACAGGAATATATATACCTAATGCGGGCGTTGTCTTTTTAAAAAAAAAAAAAAAAAGAAAAAAAAAGAAAGAACATGTTACATAAATGACATTTAGAAATATATAAGTATGTTTATCAGCAGCCTGATTATTATAGTACAGGCTCTGTCTAGTTTGGGATCAGACTGTGGGAGAGCCGTGTTAAGTTATTATTATAATGGTAGTTAGGCTAGTTCCATTTTCACTCAGGGCAGGTATTTGTATTCGGTGTTTAAATACATGTACTCCCACCGATATCCCCGAAAGGCATATAAAATGTCCACATTTTGTTGACTATAATTTATTCTGGCAATTTTGAAATAAGATGAGAAGATAGTTAGTTCAATATGAAATGAAAGGACGGAAGGCAGTGGTACCAAATTGATATTGGTTATGCGGATGTATTAAGGGTGTAGGTAAAAGCTCGTATTGGTCAGGGTCGGATTCTTGTAACTGGAACTGACTGTTCCAGGGAAGTCCGAAACCTCGAGCAGGATTATGTGGGCGTCCAAACGAATGTCTCAAAGTGTATTTTTACCTGAGCTAAATCTGCCATATATTTATTTATAATTTTTTTTTTTGGAAGTTTTATCTAGAGTTTAACATTAACCTTGGTGTTGTATAAGAAACGGAAACTTGGCAGAATATTAATAGCTGAACATATTTTAAACCTTGGACGACCAAGCTCACAAAAAAAAACACGTGTTTTGATTAAAAAGTTTCTCAAGCAACCTATACCACGACCTCACAGGAATCCGGTGTTAAGTAATTCTTTCGTAACTTATCTGCCAGTGAGTAACGTCCCCGCAGCCCAAACCTGATTCTTGGGCTTCCAAGTCACTTGTGACTCTTGTCGTGTCTATCATCATCATCATCAACAGCCTTTAATAGTCCACTGCTGGACATAGGCCTCTCCTCAGAAAGGAGGTTTTGGCCTATAGGTACTATACCACGCTGGCCAGACGGTTTGGTATAGGGTTTGTGTCAAGTTTTCCTTCTCTCTGCAGTGCTGTTGTCCTGCCTAGTTTTTTTCCCTTAGTCGCTTCATACGACACCCACGGGATGAATAGGGGTGGTGACACTCTGTATTCTTAATCCGTCACCACACGGTCTCTATTGACGGTCGTGTCTATAGACGGTGGTAATTGACTTAACATCAGGTGATTCATCTGCTCCGTCGATGTCATTCGACGGCCGTGTGTGAGATGTGTGAAATACATTATTATTATTATTATGAAAGGGCTTCATTGGCGCAAGCTTAAACAGATTTTTAATTATTTTTATGAAATATAGTTTTCGATTATAAATTTGTACGGAACCATCGGTGGGCGAGTCCGACCCGCACTTGTCCGGTTTTATTTAATTTATTTTTACACTTTCTGCATTACAATTTGTACGAGATGGAGTTAATGCCACATAGAATTATCTACCAGTCAACCTTTAGATAGTTTGGTAAGGGACAAGGCAGGTGCATATCGCACCCTCGGTGCAACAAAGTCACAAGTAGGCAAAATTGCCAAAATGACTTAAGTATGCCAAATTGTCTATAAACCATTTCTTCGTTTGGGAAATCAAAGACAGCCGCGAAATTATTTGAATATATCGATAGATGGCATTAGTGCCTTTGTCGTTCTTGATACTTTTTCGACGAATATTGGGAGAACAGAGTATGATTGGTAAGTAGTGACCCCGCGCCCGCATGAGTCAGTCGTGACTTGGAGCAACACCGGCTTAAAGGTATTAATGTCAATTTTTATTCACGTATATTGAAATAACAAAGTGCCATTATAACGCTCAAATAATTAAATTATATTTGTACCTGGTGCGACATAGTCACAAGTTACGACTTTTTTTTTGTTCCCTTTTTTTTTCAATTTTCTAATAAAATCAAAGAACTCTTTTTACATGATACTGTAGTTAAAAGAACAAATAATATAATTTTAATGAGATATCCCGGCTGCTGTAGGTAGTAATCTAGAAAAAAGGAAAATTGATCGAAAAAAAACTTAAAAGTCCGTTCCTGTAAAATTACAAAATGACCTGTTGTGACTTTGTTGCACCGAGGGTGCGATATGTACAATGAAAATAATCTATGAATAAAACAATCTATGAAATATGAAATAAAAACTGTGAAAAAACATTAACAATTAATAATGCTATTTAAAAGTATATAGACGTATCACATCAACAGCCTTAATAGTCCACTGCTGGACATAGGCTTCTCCTTACAAAGGATTACTATGCCACGCTGGCCAGATGGGTTAGTATAGGGTTTGGGGTGCGGGCTAGAAAACCTCCTCGTGGTGCACCCTGGAAACGCTGGCGATGGTACTGTTTCCTCCTTGTCCTCTTGGAGGAGAGGATTATCGCCAGCGGCCAATATTCTAGCAGAAGAGGCAGCCGTTCATCGGCTCTCGGGCAAGGCCTGGTCCAGCAGGGTGGGCGTGTCTGCCGGTTGCCCTGCTGGCTCTTCGCTCTTCGGAGCATGGAGGAGGAAACCTCGGTAAAAAACCTGATGGCGGGGCCCTGTAGGGGCCACAGTTTCTCCGCTGATAGCGGTGGAGAAAGGAGGACGGGCTCGG